ATCATGTCCCCCCCTTTGACTTGACTAACAAATTAGATCTGAACTCCATCTAACAATTTTTAAGCAGTTACAGCAACAGTTTTACATACATAAGCATTTTAAGCACCACTGTCAGTGATAAATGGTTTGTCTCAACTTTCTATCTGCCACTTTTGCTGGACAGCTTGGCCTGTTAAAAGAAGTTGAAAAATAACAGACTTACTGGCTGGATTGCCAGATAAAAATAAAGGGAAAAAAAGACGAAAAAACGAAAACTAATGCAGCCACATCTAAGGATTGGTAAACTACAATATTTACATTCTTGTGTTGAAGTTCAGATACGTTTTAACATGTTTACGTTTTCAGTGATTTCATTCTCTTACATTGTTGTCATTGACCTGTTGACATAGATGTCACTGCTTTTCCTATTTTGATAGTACAATTGTCCCTACAGGCGAAACCTTATTCCACCTCCAATCTAATTTTATCTGGGAGGCAAACTAGATTGCCAATGCCTACGTAGAAAGGAAATAAAGTGTTTACTTTGGAAAACATCCCCCGGTTTCCTTATATTTAACATCAACAAGACTATCACTCAATGCTTCCCATGAGTTATTCTGCATTGTCTTAAAACAGTTTCCTCCCTCTATTGGGTATTACCATACACACAGTATATCTCATTCTTCAAGGCTGCGAGTGAATACATAATACAAGTATATTGTTAAATCAGAGTTATGCAATATTGAGAGCTTGTAGGTTCTTAGCTCAGTCAGAGCTCAGTGATCCTAATATAAATAAACATTGTATATGATCTATAACTTTTCTATTGTAGACACTAAACACTCCCAGAATACCTCGTCCCTCCCTGGATTATGATATCAGTATTGAGGAATGGAAGACTGTGATTCTGAGTCAGCTGCACCTTGACAAAAGGACTGGTTACACAAGCATAAATCACAAAACGTAGGCGAATGACATTTTTATAGTTTCTGAGCTTAGAGAAAGTATTCATTCGATATCTAACTTAAAAGATTAGAGTGTAAGAATTAAGAAAATGATCAAGGGATGCTATATACACTCACACACATATATACACTACCGGTCAAATGTTTTAGAACAAGAACACCTCCATTTTTCCAGCTTTTATTGAATTTTGTGCAGTTTATGTCTCAATGTACTCTGAAAATAAAGCCAAGAACAAATACACAATTAGACATCTAAAATAAATCATGGAGTAGTTTTCTTTAACAAAATGTAATCTAAATTGTTGACTCATCAAAGTAGCCAAATTTTACACATATATAACAGCCAAACACACGCGTGGCATTTTTTTGTACAATTAAAATTCAACATTGTTCGGAAAGTTCTTCCTGACATTGTTGCAGAAGTTCCTACAAATGTGTTGCATTTGTAAGTTGCTTTGCTTTCACCCTTCTTTCCAGTTCATCCCAAACCAGCTCAATGCAGTTTAAGTTTAGAGACTGTGCTGGCCATTCCCTGCTTTGAAGCCTACCATCTTGTTGTTTTCTTCTAAGCCTGAAAGTATGTTTTGGGTCAATATCTTGCTGTAGGATGAACCCCTGACAAATATGCATGCACCTGAGGGTATTATATGGCGCTGCAAAATGCTATGGTAGTAGTTTGGTTTAGAGCGCCACTCCCCAGGTCCAAGTCACTGGCTCTGGATTCAGCAAAAGATCCCCAAACCATCTCACTTCCTCCTCCATGTTTGACGGTTGGTGTCACACACACCATTCTTTCGCCTACTCTACGGTGTACAAAAACCCTGTGTGATGAACCGAAGATCTAAAATTTTTACTCATTGGTCCATAAGACCTTCTTGCAGTCTTCAGGAGACCACTGGTGGTGTTTCATGGTACAGGCAAGCCTCTTTTTCAAAGCAATGGCCTTGTTAGTGCCACTCAACCTGTCAAACTTGCAGCCCCAAGTCTTCTCTTCACAGTTGAAACTGAGACTTGCTTACTTTGATCATGTTAAGCTGTGCTTGAAGCTGTTGTCCTGTGAGCCCCCGTCATGCAAGCTGTTGACTCTCAGAAACGTGTCTTCTGATTCTGTTGGGGCTTTGTGTCTGCCAGACCTCTTACTATCAGAGTTGGCTCTGATAGGAAGTTTCCAAATGCCTTTTGATGATGTAGAAAACTGTACTTAAGATAAGCTGTATTTGTAGTACCGCTTATCTTAACATCTAGTACAATTCAGGCTATTTACTGGACTTGAACTGCTCACATTTCAATAAAAACTGAAAAAATGGGGGTGTTCTAAAATGTTTGACCAGTAGTGTATACATATATATATATATATACACCACATTGCCAAAAGTATTGGGACACCCTTCTAAATCATTGGATTCAGGTGTTCCATGATATTTCCTTGCTATTAAATATTCCACAGTCGAATGCAGTGGTGTAAAGTACACCGCCACTGGACTCTAGAGAAGTGGAGACGTGTTCTCTGGAGTGACTAATCACGCTTCTCTGTCTGGCAATCCGATGGACGTGTCTGGGTTTGGCAGTTGCCAGGAGAGCGTTACTTGCCTGACTGCATTGTGCCAAGTATAAAGTTTGGTGGAGGGGGGATTATGGTGTGGGTTTTTTTTAAGGGGTTGGGCTTGGCCCCTTAGTTCCAGTGAAGGGAACTCTTAAGGCATCAGCATACCAAGACATTTTGGACAGTTTCATGCTCCCAATTGTGTGGGAACAGTTTTGGGGATGGCCCCTTCCTGTTCCAACATGACTGCACACCAGTGCATAAAGCAAGGTTCATAAAGACATGGATGAGCGAGTTTGGGGTAGAGGAACTTGGCTGGCCTGCACAGAGTCCTGACCTCAACCCAATAGAACACCTTTGAGATGAAATAGAGCGGAGAGTGCGAGCCTCACAAATGCGCTTCTGAAAGAATGGTCAAATATTCCCATAGACACACTCCTAAACCTTGTGGACAGCCTTCCCAGAAGAGTTGAAGTTGTTATAGCGGCAAAGAGTGGGACAATTAAATTATGAACCCTACTTACTAAGACTGAGATGCCATTAAAGTTCATGTGCGTGTAAAGGCAGGCGTCCCAATACTTTTGTCAATATAGTGTGTAATATATATATATATATATAAAAAAGAGGTGCACCGATGCACCAAATTCTGGTATCGGGGAAGGTATCGGAGCATTTGGGCGAGTACGAGTACTCATCCAAATACTTGGTATCTGCACCGATTGCACCCTGGAAGCTTTGTAGAGCTTTGTAGGGTCGGATAAAGCCTTCATTACTAGGTTTACACCTAAACTGTTAGACAGACCTCAGTAACTAGTCTCAGCTGTCCACAGGCCTTTTTATTTACCTTTTTCATGAGTGAGCTGACTAATGTTGAGGTCTCTCTCTCTCTCTCTGTAGGTCATACACACAAAGATTTGCAGGTAAGATTAAAGCAGAACTCGAGACAGAGAACCTTTTTTTTCTCTTTTCAGTTATGTTAAAAAAGTTACCTCTGCTAAGGTTCATCCCACTGGATAGTACAGATTTACCTGTACTTCCTGTGCACTGGGGCTACAAGAGCTGCATCTCACGCCAGTGTCATTTATCCGCCCTTTTGCTTTCCCCTTATCCATTCACAGAATGCCTTGTATTTTGTGAATGGTTTACAGAATACAAGGCATTCTGTGAATGGATAAGGAAAGAGGAGGGAGAGAGGGGTGATGCTAATGTGAGCTGCAGCTCCCATAGCACTAGCACACAGGGAGTACAGGGAAATCTGTAATATACACTGTCAACAAAATTAGGAATTTTCTTGTAAAGAGCAGCAATCCGCACATGGCATCAACTTTAGCAGAGTTCACTTTTTTTTTTACAGAAACGAGAAAAGGCTCTCTGTCTGGAGTTCCTTTTTAAATATTACAGCAAGGTAATTTGAAAAGACAGAAATACAAGAATACAGGGATCTCTGCAAAAACCAAACTAAGACAAGGTCCTGTTTACACATGGCAATATGGTAAGCAATTTTCTTTACTTTACTATATCACTATTGCACAAGTACAAAACTACAATAGCTTTTATTATTATTGTTATTATTATTCAAGCTGAATTGTATCTGTTAGTGTAATCTAACTAAATTATGATGTTTGTTTAATAAATATACTTATTAAGGGAATAAATATCAATGAGTATAGGTTTTTGGCTTGTTAGTTTTTACTTCAGAGTCAAGTCAAGCTGGTGAAACTTGGACCTCCACAACAGGCTGGACACCTTGTAATGGCATTATGGTTCAGTTAGGCCTATAGAAATACTTAAACAAATCTCACTTCCACAGCCACATTGGGATAACACCTATTTTATATTTTTTTGCATAAGCTAAAAAAATGTTTTCAAAATGCTTCTCGCGGTTTAAATTGCTTTTACTTGGGTTAGGGTTTTAAGGGTTACATTTCTTCTTGCTTCTATTTCTTTCAAATGTTAGGAGGGGCTTTCATGGGTGAGGGGTCTTGTACATTGAGAGGTGGCTTTCCATTGTATGTTAATGAAGCTTATCAGATAAACACAATGTTCACATTTCAGTCCCAAGACTTTCCATTGGGACAGACCACAGTGAAAAGGGCTAAGAAAGAACATGAAATCAGCCATGTTGCCTGATTTAACAAAACATCTAAAAGGTAATAATTTTTATTATTCAAGCTATTTTTCAGTATGCCGTGTGAATAGGAACACATAAATATATGAAGGGGTTTTCCTAAATTTGACTGCAAAAGTGGAACTACACTGAAAACCTTGCTGCCTATCTGCTCACACCAAGGTGTCCATCTTTTTTATGTTCTAAAGTTGGGAGGTATGCAGTAATTGTGTTAGTTCTCCCATTTAGCATTTCTATAATGTTTTAGTAAGAAAAACTTTAACTGTAATGTGAGCTCTTTTTAGGGAGGTGTAGTGGTCCTGGCATCTACAAATTGCTTATACTTGTCCCAAAAATTATAATTAAATGATATCTGCCAAATATCATGGAAGATTTGTGGGAACTTATTGTAGAGTTTGAAACTTGACATTCATGTAGGTTATACACACACATTGGTTACATTTTACAGCATTTGCTTAGAAGCATCAAGTTAGTAGCACAAAAGCAGGGACCAAATGAGAAATTTAGAGAGGCTTTTGTTTCCTGAAGCTGATTACGCAGGACTGGTCATGGCAAACGGCTCTGGACAATTATTCTGAGAACAGACTGGCAAAAGACTTCCTCAGATTGCGGATAGTGTCTGCTCTGGTATCATCCTCATTGCTTGATGATCTGAAGAAGGATGATTGGGTGAAGTTGAAGGCATTGGTCAAAGACTGAGACTTGCTAGATAAAAAACAGAATTTTTTTTAGTAAAACTGTATCGACAACCCTAACTTCTAAGACAACACAAGACCAAAGTCTTAGTTATAAGATGAAGCACATTTCATTAATTAAAGATATATTTCATTGACATAATTTTAGAGAAGTCACATCAAGACTCTGTAAAATATTTATTTGTCTAATTTTAACAATTCCCCCTATATGAACTTGTCAAACATCAGCACACATTAAAGGATAGTTCCAGTAAATATCTTTGGAAAGGACACCAGAGAAAGAAAGTGAAATGTGCAGTGGTGTCCTTTACCAGATACTATCTTAGATTTAAGAGAGTGCAGTGATACCATTAGCTCAATGCCATGCTAGCATGTTTTTTCATTAGGAGTCAGACATATTGATAAGATTATTTACATTATGCTTCTTTATTTTATATGTAAAATATATGTAACACATATAGGTTATATCATGCATTTACATATATTAACCCCTTCATGACTGAGGCCCTTTTTTCATTTTTTTGCACCCATGATATATTCCACATTTTAAGCCTGAAAATGACTTAAAACCCCCCAACATTATATATTTTCTGAATGCCAAGACCCTATAGAATAAAATGGTGGTAGTTGCAAATTTTTATGTTGCGCAATATTAGCGCAACTCCTTATTAAACCCCAACATTTAGTGAAAAATTTTATTAAATGCCCCAAAACACAACACAATACCATTTTTTTAAATGAAATATAAAAGATGAGGTTACAACGAGTAAAACGATACCCAACATGCCCAGGTTACAAATTGCGTGCGTCCATGAAACGGCGAAAAACTGCAGTACCCAAAAAGTCAATAGAAGACGCTTTAAAGGCCCCCACAGGTCATCAATTTATAGATATACCCCAAAATACTGGCCCTAGAATTATTGCTCTCACTCCGGCGTGCGCGGCGATACCCAACATGTGTAGCGCGTTCGTCGTTTTCATACATATGTGCACCCGACGCGTGTTTACGTGGCGACACACGTGCTCGCGGGGGCGGGGGACTTTTACATTTTTTTTATTATTAGATTGATTTTATTTAATTTTAATTGAAAAAGCTTTTTTTTTTTTTTTTACTTTACTTTGACTGCTATCACATGGGGGGGCTTGCAAGCTCCCCCATGTAATAGCAGATGGTGGTGACAGGTCCTCTTTAAGGTGATGCTGGGGGTCCAAAAGACCCTCAGTGTCACCTTTACACTGGAAATGAGCTATTGAAGTGCAGATCGCACTTCAATAGCTTATAGCTGGGCTGCAGGAGCCCAGAACTGACAGCCCAGGGACCGGAAGTGATGCAATCTGCATCGCTCCCGGTCCCATAGAACGGGGAGGGGATCGATGAACGGAAGTTCGTCGACCTCCTCCCCAGCTCCGCGCGGACACCAAGGACGCCGGTCCCGTAGGAGGGGCAACGGAGCCTCTACAAGTTTAAACAGAGTCCCGGCGGCAAAAGTCGCATCTAAGCATCTAAGCAACCAATTTAAATAGCCCCGATGCTGGCGACGTACACTGTACGTCGTCAATCACGAAGGGGTCAAGGTCAGAGCTGTACAGATGGTGCCCTATGGCTGAAAGCAGCCCTACAAAGGATTTTTATGTGGTGCAGTCATCACATCCCAGATTCAATATATGATTATAATAAACTACTGGTGTAGCACTGGTATAGGACATCACAGAATGTTTTGACCTAGAGGTCCTACTGTGATATAAAGCTTTTTCCTTTCACTGCTTATGCCTATTAGCATGTATTTGCATCTCCCTGAACCCTTAGTGTAAGAAACACTTGACTGGAGTGGGGCTTGACAGCTCAGGGGTTTGTGGTTTGTATAAAGTGGATTACAGGGGGGGGAGGGTGCAATTAGTTTTGGTTTCCCTTGTCCAATTGGTGGGTTCAGAAATGAGGGAGGGGCTTAGGTGTTAAAACTAGCAGCAATCATTGAAGGAGCTTTAACCCCTTCGTGACTGACGACGTACAGTGTACGTCGCCAGCATCGGGGCTGTTTAAATAGACTCCCGGCGACTTATGCAGTTTTTCGCCGTTTCACGGTCGCACGCAATCTGTAAACTGGGCATGTTGGGTATCGTTTTACTCGTTGTAACCTCATCTTTTATATTTCATTTAAAAAATGGGTAATTTGTTGTGTTTTGGGGCATTTAATTAAATTTGTCACTAAATTTTGGGGTTTAATAAGGAGTTGCGCTAATATTGCGCAACATAAAAATTTTCAACTACCACCATTTTATTCTATAGGGTCTTGGCATTCAGAAAATATATAATGTTGGGGGTTTTACGTCATTTTTAGGCCTAAAATGTGGAATATAACATGGGTGCAAAAATTGAAAAAAGGGCCTCAGTCATGAAGGGGTTAATGTTTTATGGTAAAGGATCCAAAGCAGCCTCACCCACCCTCCCATTAAATAGCTTTTGTTTCATAACCTCAGTTGCCCCAAGTGTGGCACTGGGACATAAATGTAGTAATTTCTACAATAAGTGTCTTGTATTTTCTTTTTTTAATAGCAGCTGTTTTCTGTGCTGTATTGTGGCCTTTTCAGCCTTGGAACAATGAAGGCTTGAAGAAAGATGGAAGAGGAGATAGTATGAGTGGTTTGGTGGAGTCATAGGTTGAGGTCCCGTTGATGGCTTTTGGGTATAATTTGGGCATACCCGCAAGGCTAGGTGAATTAGAGGGGCCAGTGAAAGGTACTACTCTATTATTGGGTCTTCAGCAAAAAGGGCTCGCCAGGAGCCAGGTAAGTGGTAATTTAGCTCTGGTGGTAAAGTTTTGTTAGGGTATATTAACTACGTTAATTATTTTATTGTACTTTATTCAATTGAATTGGATAAATATTTTAAAGTGACACTAAAGTCACACATCCTACACCACCCCCCCCCCCC